ACTCGAGAAGTCAATAGGTCTGCGTTGGATGGGAAAAGCCGTCAGTTTCAGGTTTTGTTGTTGTAACACTTTGTCACATGCGCAAATGAAGATCAAGCTGGTAACATTAAGAAAATAAACTAGTTCAAAGTAAATATAGCGTCATGTCCATGTTTACTAAAGTTCATGATATTTTAGTGAATGCTATCGGCGAGATTCTCAACAGGAAAACCTCAGTGGCTCAAATCATGTCGAAGACGGTTGAGGGTTTAAACCACGCTTATGAAGTGCGCGATTCGTGCCCAGAAGATTTAATTTTTGATCTCTTCAAGATGCCCAACAAAGATGAAGCCAGCATCAGCAAGCTTATAAAGGTATGATCAATACTCTGCTATAGAGTTTGTATCCTATGCGCATACATTCTAGGTGCTGAAATCATTTGGCTTGCGAGAGTCGGATCCCCGTTTGCGACACATGAATGAGAAGATGAAAAGCTTTGAGGAAGAGGACGATGATGCAAGGAACTTTCTCCTCACTAGGGATAAATTCAAGGAGTAAGTGACAATCTCGTGCAGACTTCTCTCTTCCGATTTTTAAGCGCTGCTGCTGACATTGCTCCTTGGAATAGTGTAGATATTGTAATTAAGAGTCAAAATTATCAAAAAATTAAGATCTGAAAGAAGAGGATTACAGAGTTGAAATGAAGATTATTCTGCATGCAAAATTTTTACTCGACCTTTTTCTCTGCACTTCAACAACCTTTTTGAAAGTATTGAAGACGTGTTCTCATTTAAATTGTAAAAACGTCTTCTGGGTCGTAAAAGTTTAGCAAATTGCTCTTTCTCCTCATTTTGACCCGGCTGAAGCTACGAAAAATGTAAACATCTTTACCTATGCTTTCGCTTTAAAAGAGAAAAAGGTAGTAACTTAGTGCTTTTTCTATTCAAAGAGAGAACGGGAAAAGGTAGATTGTGCCAAAATTAGTATTCTTTCCCTTCATAACGATTCTTTGATTGTTAATTTCCAAATATTTTAAGATTTATTTACCACCCAAATTACACTGATGTTCGTTCATAGCACATTTTCGTTCAGATGCATTCATCCATCGGTGCAACTTATATCGCAAGCACTTCGAAATCATTTGATAATTCCGAGCTGGGGAGAGTTCTGCGGACAAATCAAATCGATATTCGAAGAGGTGGAGTAATGTAAAGGATGCTTTCTGCATGGATTATC